CCAAGTGTGCTTTGCATTGCCTCCTCCTATTCTGCAGCTGCCAGTAACTTCTGTCCTCCTTAATGTTAAGTTTGATCACTAAATTATCATGTCTAGACAAACACATTCCTTGTTAGACAAGTCTACAACTTGTGTAACAGCACTTTACAAGAGCGTGTTAGAGAGCAGACTCCTTCAGTACTAACTTCACTACTTCCTGCGAGCATGGAAACCACATGCAAGCAGCATCTCAGCTTTCGGAACTTCCCCATCACCTGAGTAGACAGCTGGGTGCTGGGGAACAGAAGGGAGCTTGGGATCCTGGCAGCACCACGCATGTTGGGCTGGGAGATGGAGCTCAGCCTGTGCAGCTGGGCAGAACCACAGCTCAGTCCTTGGAGGGCAGCTGCTCTGCACCTCTGCTGAGCGAACATCCTGCTCCCAGCCTGGCCAGGCCGTACCCAGCACCACACCAGGTGAAACTATGCACATGCTCGTTTCCTCCCAGTCTTACTGCACTTCTCTTAGATTACTTAAAAAGGAACGGGGAACCAAGAGACCTGCAGGAACAAAGCCAGCTCACAGCTTTGTAGCACTGCTGAATGTCCTCAGCACCAGAAAGAGGTAAGGAAGGAAGCTGCCCTTTCTTTCAGACAATACAAAAGAAGCCTTAAGCATGTCATTACTATAATCGTTACCTTTGCCTCTGGTACCAGCTCTTTTTCTTGACCCAGAAAGCAGCTACCACACCTATCAGGTAAGCATCACGAAGTAACTTTCAGGGAAGGACACCATCCTACTCAGAATCAACTGCTGATGAGTGAGCAGAGTGCAACTGCTATCAGGAAAGAAACCGAACTGAATTCTGTACATTAGCAGAAAGTTGACTTGGTTTTAAATATTCTCATAATAATGGAAAGTCCCCGTTCAGACTCAGCTCCCTCGCACTGCGTGTCTGCAGCAGGAGCACAACGCAGAACCAGGCTCCAGGCTTTGCAGACTATGGGTTATTAAGGTGCAAGTGTTCTTACGGGAGCTCAGGAAAGCTTGTGATAATATCTGGCTTTCCCACCTCTTCCCACATACAAAGGCTTTAATAAACTTTAACAAACACACAAGCAAACAAACTCTGAATTAAAAAGAAATTTAAATTCCTGAGCTGAAGGCTTCTAAGCAACTCTGACATCCTCCAGCACCCAGGCAGTGACAGCAGATAGGGTCACAGTGACACCCACAGCGATGGCAGCTCTGCATTCTGCAGCACCACTCGGGGCAAATGCTGCCATTGCAGCACGGGACCTTCTGCCATGACACTGCCCACATCGTCCCTTCCATTTCCAAACAGCAAAGAGCCTCCTGCTCACCAGTGCTGGACAGGGATTTCTACCACAGCTACAGTTTGGTGCTCCAACCCACCTCGGTCACTGCTGGCAATGCTGCAACCTTACAGGCAGACACCGCTCTCCCCCAGCTACGAGTGCGCTGTCATTGCTTTTGTTTTAATTTTTGCTGCCAACACACCTCATACGTAACCATTCGTCTGCAGGCTCTTCCAAGAGTGGCTCACGTGCTGGGAGTGGTGGTGGTGTCATTCTTTTATTAAGCTGTCATTGGTACTGGTTATTTGGTGCATCCAAACCAAAATATTAAATCTGCAAAGCTAAGAGAGCAGCAACACAGCACATCCGTTGTAAACAATTTATTATTATTTTCTACCTCAGTTACTTACAGGATAAAAGTCATAAAAAAAAAAAAAGCACAGATGGACTATTTACAAAAAATGAGAAAATTCACAATAGCCGAAATGTTTGCAAATCATGCACACTAAGACAAGTTCACAAAAGCAAAGCAATTCATAGCAAAAAAAAAACAAAAAAACAAACAAAATAATAAGAAGCCATACAGATTAAAAAAGCTATTGCCTGCAGAAAAGTAAAAAGGAAACTAACCAATCGTTACATCAAGCATCTTTAATGAAATGAACAGCACAGCCGTGTATCGCAGAGCCTTTGACACCGACATTTTAAACAAGTGGATTAACAAACATTAAAATGCATTACAGTTCTACTGTAAGCATGCAATTTACTTCTCACAAACTTATAAGGTAGGTAGAAACACTTAAAAAAAAGATACCATGTGTGTTTTCTACCCAAACCAGCAGAATCTGGTCGTGTTAAAGCGGAGCCAATGGACAGCAGCAGATCACCGGTTTGCAGTTCGGGTAGTTGGGTGGAGATTGAGAGGTGCAGCACAGCTGAAAGCAGCACAGCAAAAGCCCCTCCTGCCCAAATTTAAGCAACCTGCTCACAATTTGCAAGCAAAAGCAATTGCAGGAGGAGGTGGAAGCATCGCCCGCTGCAGGAGGCGGGGGGATGGCATTGAGGGGATGGCACTGAGGGGGGGGGACGCTGCGGTTCAGTGGTGGCCACACAGAAGCCACCGACCCCAACCCCGAGGCAGCAGCTGCCCCAGGCAGAGCCGCCCCACAGCCAGGCACGGCCATGGGTGGGTGCTGCAGTGTGAGAAGAGCCTCTGGGGACAATCCAACCCTGATCCATTGGAACCCCAGCAAGAGGAGACGGCGGCCTCGCTCCGCTCTCGACTTGTGCTGCTGCACAAAGTGCCAGCATCCCTCTGGGGCCAGCTGTGAGGCCCAACTGTTGTTTTCGCTCCCTGGTCAGAATTATGCTTAAGAAGTTTGTGAGAAGTCATGCCTTCGTAATGCCCCTCTCCCCATCCCTGTGAGTTACATTCCAAGTGGGCATTAAAAACTCATAACAAAGCAGAGGGAAAAAATAACAGAATTAAAAAAAAGATAATAAAAAGCAAAACTCAAAGCAGTGAGGATATGGAGCCTTTAAAAAAATAAAGTAAAAAGTCCATTCAATCAAACCAGCCAGCAAGAGCAGCAATTTCTCAGTGGACATTGATATTAACATGGACCACCCAGGCTTTGTCTGTCTCTCTCTCTCATTAGCACTGTAGTAAACCCCGATTAATTTGTTATGCATCTTTAAGAACTAGTTGATAAAAATTATGTCTTGTGAAATCGGCAAATAGTCTGCAAAGTGAAATAAGAACAGAAATTAATAGATTAAACTGAAAAGATAAGTCCCAGAAATTAAAAAAAAAAAAAAAAAAAAAAAAAAAGACACAGAAAGGGGAGTGATTGTAAAAAATAAATAAATAAAAAAAAGAGGCTAAGTGCTGAGCTTTAAAGGCCTAGAGGAAAAAATAACGATGGGAGAAGATAGAACAGTCGAACAGTCGCCCAAGTGCCTGTGTGCGCTGTGCTGCAGGGCCAGCGGGCAGAACGGCAGATGTCAGATCCTCTGAGCAGGCTGCCCATGCTCCCCAACACCCCACGTCCCACCCAACGCCCTGTAACCCCCCAACGCCGCCGCATTCACTGCCCCAGGCGCCTCCCGGCTCCATGCAGTGCACACTGCACACCGCCCAACCCCCAGCACAGCAGCAGCCCCTGCACTGCCGTGAGTGGTGCTGCTCCCGGTGCCAGCCTGGCCAGGAGCTGCTGCTTCTCCTGCCAGCCCCGTTTTCGAGCTGCCCCGGGTGCAGGCGGCACGGCCAGGCTGGCACTGAGTGCAGCGCTCGCTGGAGGTAACGTTTCTCTTTGATTTTCTCCTGTGCCACAATCTCTGCAAGAGACTGAACATAACCAGACAATCACGGGAAGATCACCCAAACCTCCAGGACAGCGTATGTCAGGATGGCTGAAGCTCAACACACCTCCACGTTCAACAGCCAGACACGCTCATTTTAGTTATGTTTATAATTAAAGACACCTGAGCTGTGCTGATTTTCACCATGTAACCTATCGAGACTGTCTCTTGTCTCTGCTCTCACATAGATCAGTCACCACAGAAACCCCACGAGCCTGCCCTGCTGCTGTGGGGCACACAGGGCACCAGCAGTGCTGCCCGCCCCAGCAGCACACTCTGTTCATTGCTGTGCAAAGGGCACAGTACAGGTGGGGAATAGGCAGGTGAGCATAACACAGAACTGCTGCATCTGCAAAGCCTAGAAATAGAGAAAAAAAAATCTAACACCGGCTTGCCTCGATGCTACTCATCCTGCAGACACCAGATCTGCAGTGCAAGGACATCATTCATCCTATGGATGTTAATAACACATATCCTTTCCACGCAACACTCCTTCCTATTGATGCCACAGCCATATCTATGACTCACATGCCTAAGGCAGCCAAGCCCTACTCCTTGTCCTCTGTCCCACCCAGGATCAACCTGACAAGCGCTCGAGAATTTAATCTGCTGCTGCAGCATGCAGGGAGGTTAGCTCCCAACACAGCCGCTGTAACTCAGCACACAGCACTGACCACAGCAGCCACAGCTCTGTGTAATCTAGTAACATCCCTGAGAAGCACTAAGGTGAAGGAAAAAGGGCTCTCAGCCCTTTTTCTCAGCAGTGCTCACAGACCTGGGAGGGGAGCACAGCACAGAGCCAGAGCCCAGAGAGGGGAGTGAGCACAGCACAGGATGCCGGAAGGACGCGGCGGGCACCAAAGGAGGCAGCAATATTGGAGGGCAGAGCGGCCCTCCTGCTGGATGCAAACGTACCACGGTGTGGGGAGCATGTGCAAGGCTGTGTGTGTGTGTGTGTGTGTGTCTGCCCCCGTGTGTCTGTGCAAGGCTGTGTGTGCAAGGCTGTGTGTGCCCAGGCACAGAGCTGCAGTATGCAGAAGGAAGAACCCCTCGGAGGGAGCTAACAGCTCTGAAACCAGTTCTGCCGCTTCACGCTTTAACTTAAATTTTGTTTTCAAATAACCAGTACCAATTCACACGTTAATAAAGATGTATTAAATATATCGTCTGTAGAGATATGTTTTAATCGCAAAAAAATATGTTATGTGAGATGCTCCCTGCAGACCTGCCTGCCTCAACCTGCAGCTACGGATTAGAAAAAAAAAAAGAAAGAAAGAAAAGAAAAAACTAAAGAAGGAAAGAAGAGAGAAAGAAGTGAATCTGCAAATGAAACGTACGTACCTGGAAACTGATAGCTGTAACTTGGGGCAAATCCAGGATATCCTCGGCCGTATGTCGCGACAAAATTCGGGTAACCTTGATCACAGAAACATAAAAATAAATAAACAAACAAGTAAAACAGTGAGAGAAAATGTTTTAAGATTAACAGAGGCTTTCAGATTATAAACACAATGTCAAATAACACTGAGGATGGGCAAAACTTGATTTTACAGGGAATATGCAGAAATGAGATTTATTCTGCTCATGCAAAACGCAGGAAAGGTTTCATTATCATCTGGAATAGAACCATCCAGAGATGGAGGGCTGCTGATCACCTGCCTCGCACGAGCGCTGTCACTCCTGTAATTAACATGCACTTTGGTGCCTGAAGCCCAAGCACTGTGCATACTTGTTAGCTGGAAGAGTAAATGCCAAATGCTAAGGCTAAACACATAACACAGGTTTGCCCTGACATTTGGAGAGCTTACAATGAATGTACTTTGCTTCAGAGCTATTGACAGTTGGAGATTAAGGTAGTAGTAATTCTTTATCCCAGGAGTGTGAAGGACAACAGTTAACACATCAAAGAGTTGGAGGAGCCACGGCAACGAGCCAGAGTCAAAGGCTTTTAATTTTTCAGGAAAGTAAAACCCAGAGATGAGAACCGCTTCCTAAAGGGATCGCTCAGACACACACACCCAACCTCGGGCAGCTTTTGAAGTCGTATTATGAGAAAAACACCATTCGAGGCCATTTTGCTAATAAAAATGTTGGAGGAAGCACACGAAGGAGCAACGCTGCCCACCTGAACGCAGCAGGTGGAAGGCAGGGCCATGGCACACCAGCGCCCTGCTGCTCATCCTCAGCATCCCCTGCTCAGCGCTTACCAACAGCGACTCTCTCCTGTAATTCTAATGCACCAAGTGCTACACAGCATCCCCTGTGTCCACAGCATCAATCGGTGCACCAAGACTCCTCCAGCCTTCAGGAAAGGCCCCTCCGGACCAAGGACCATCTGCAGACGTTTGGTGCTGCTCCACCCAAAGCCAAAGGCGTCCTGCACGAAGGGCACTGCAGGAGGCCTGGCGTCCCCACAGCCACTTACCCTTGTTCATACCACATCCCACAGCAATTCTTCTGCCAGGGCAAGTCCCTCCGATTCAATTTTAACATACATATAACGTGCTATTAATCACCATCTAAAACCGGGAGATAAAAGTGCTTGGATGAATTCTGATGCAGCCATTAGGCAGAGCCAGGGGAAAGCAGGCGGCAGCTGCAGGACAGCGCTCCGGCTTCCCGGGGTTCGTCCGTTCTGCTCAGCCCATATATTTGTTTCACAGCTCAGCAGCTGGATTCCCTTTAAAATTAATCACTCCTGTCGCTAAATCAGATCTTTCAGAGTTACGCTTCACAAAACTTTTTCCCTTTTTCAAAAAAAGAACCAAGCCCTTCACTACCACCGCACTGACAAATGGATTATTTGCCAAGTGAGCAACACCCCTACGAGCACCGCGAGCTCCAGCACCACCCTGCGGCAGCACTGCTCTCCCTCTGAGGTGCAGGGGCTGCCCGGGGGGGTCTCAGCTGTATCCCCTGCTCTCAGCGCTCTCTCGGTCAGGCAGATGGAATCATAAATTTACAATACAACATTACTTCAATTTTCCTCTTCATTTACTGCTGCAGTGCCCCGCTCTGCTCTAACGAGTCGAAGCCCGATCCACGCAGGGGAAATGGGCTGGCTGAATATCAATAGCGCATTAACACCAGGCCCATGTGGCTGCTTCATCAAGCCAAATTACGGCCATGCTGACCTATCCACCATTTCCATTAGATGCCACAGTCATCCTATGCTGGGCAGTGAACAGTTTATTTGCTTCAGTACTCCTAGAGAATGACCCAACCCTCTGATTATCCCCCACCGTAAACCAAGAATCCCAGTTTTGCCCAGGTTGCCTTTTCTCAAGCAAGACCCCGGAGCCTGCTCCAACCAAGACCCCAAAGCACGCTGACAACGCCAAACTCCTTGACCCCACAGTATCATCCAGAGGCAGTGGGTTGAGCACACCAGCAGCCTATGCAAGGTGACAGCAATGGCTGCAGTCACTGTGCTGAGCAGCAGCAGTCACAGCGATGCTTCTGTTGGAAGGAACACCCAGCACTGCGCTGCCACAGCGTGAGGTCGGTGTCCTGTCAGGGGGAAGGAAAGCAAAGGCTCTGCTTCCAATGCAGGAACAGCTGCAAACAGATCAACACTGACCTTTTCACTTACAGTTTATGAGAGAGTTCCACAACACCACTGGTATTAAAGCCCAGGGTAAAGGCCAGTCACTACAGGCATGTCACAGAAAGGGAAATGGAGCAGAGCACCCAGCCCTCTGTTGTGCCCACAGGAACCCGCGGGCCTGGAGCCTGAGCTCACGGCATGAGGTCACCAGGGTGGTGGGACACCAAGCCAGGACCTTGGCTCTGCATGGTCCCCACGTTTAGATGCTGTGATCCAGGAGGGACAAACCTCACAGCTAAAGTATGGATGCATGGAGTGACTGCTTTGAACCTGGGGACTTCTGCTTTTACACTTAATTCAAGAAAATCATCATCTCCACAAGAGAGAGGTGCTCCCGTGGTGCAAAAAAAGCAGATCTGTCCCAGTGCAAGGCCAGCAGAAGCCAGCAGCTCCAGAGGTCCTGCAGAAAGCTTGTGTCCAATACAGAGCTTCCTTCCTCAGCCTGCCTCACAGGCAGCTGCTGCTCTATCAGACAGACTCTGAGGGAAAAAAGGAATGACTTTCTTTGAAGGGCACGAGCTTCTTTTATGCATGAGTTCAGCCTACCTCACCTGAACGTGTGCAGTAATGCAGAGTCCTGGTCTGCCTGGCGCAATGATATAAGCAGCCTGGCAGAGACTTCCTGAAATTTGGTGTTCCTATCAGACATTATTTCAGCAGTCTCGGAGCATAAACCTTACAGACTGTGCTCTATCTCTGGAGAGGTTACTTCAAAATTAAACACCAGCAAGCCCAAGGTACCCATCGCCAAATGAAGCTGATGCTGTGGGCCCCAGCTCAGACAGTGCAGTGCAGCAGCCACCCTCAGTGCCTGGTGTTCCAACTTGAGCACGTGGCAGCACTCCATCCTAGACACAGCTGCTGCCAGCAGGAGGGAAGAGGAATGGAGCCCACCTGCTCTTCTCTTTGTCCCTCTTTACTTTTCTTGGCTTTTTTTTTCCCCCCAGGAGCAGAAGGTAACACAGCAGCACCTACACGGCCCTGGGTGATGAGTCTGCACCATGACCAGCAGGCAGGCAGGGTCTCCTGGATGCAGCGTGAGCTTTCAGTCCCCACTTGCTCTCGTCCAGCTGAGCGCAGCGCTGCCCACCAAGGGGCACAGCTCTGCTCACTGTGACATAGGAGCTGCCATGCTGTGGCCGGGTGGGCAGGCAGGGAGAGGAGATCACAAACTGAACACGCTCCAGCCCACTCTTTATGCAGAGTGGCTAATTAATGTTCCTGGCCTCCCCCGAGGACGTGTGCTTCTCATCACCAGACAGCGACTGAGACAGCCCAGGAGCAGCCCTGGCAGAAGGCTCAGCCTGCCTGCACTCTCACAGTCAAAAAATCCTTTCAGAAGAACACTTTAATTTTGTTCCAATCAACCAAATCATCACAGAAGCGGCTGCCTGTGCACCTTTAGACCCCGGCTGCTGCAGGCTCCTCAGGGAGGCTATGATTAATGAAAAAGACCAACTTCCTTAATAGCTTTGGAGGGAGTCACTCTCCACTCTTTCCTTTGGGTTGTCTTGTGCGTTCGCTCCTCTGATTTCCTGTTCTGTCTGCAAACGGCATCTGGAGAAGGTGACCTTGGACAAGGGCTCCTGGAAGCAGGTACAACAGCATTCTAAGAGCAGCTTCCATCCACTCCATCTCAGTCCAGTCAAACAACTGAAGCAAGGAGGGGAGTCAGTCTGCCACCGGCCTCGCTGGGATCTCAGCAAAGCGCTCTGCTGCTTCAGACTGTCCTGGCAGCCCACTGTGCCGGATGCTCCACAGTGTGATGGGTTAATCATGCCCTCCCCACACTGGGGTGGGGGTCTCCATCAGGGCTTGCTGTCCCCCTCCCAGCCTCAAAATGAGCCCTGGGGCTCAGAACAGCCCCCTACATAGCAGGCTGCAGCTCTGTTAGTCTGCACATCTTTAGTTAACATGGTGCACTGTAGCAAGCAGAAAATGAAAAACAGTGCGAGTAGATAACGAAGCATCTGGCCTTCAACATAAATCAATCAGCAATTCTGAGCAAGCCACTCTGGCTTAAAATCTAATAAGCACACTGAGGGCTGCCCTGCGAGGAGCACTGGCCAGCCAACCCCATGCAGCAGGTGACCACAGTACACAACCCAGCTGAAAGTTATCCGCAGATGATCCACATGCTGAGAACTCCCCTGTTGCTTCTTCAAGCCCAAAGCCATCTTCTTCCCCAGGAGGCAGCCATCACTCCCAGCGCACTCCCGAGGGCTCAGCTTCCCATTGAGGTCCCTGGCACACAGCCCAGCTGCAGAACTGCTCCCAGCATTGCCTCCACTTCTGGCAGAGGGGCTGCTGCCCTGGTTCCCACCCCCAGGCTGTGCCAGCGCAGCAAGGAGCACCCACCAGCGCCTCCTGGACCACCAGCAGTGCCACACAGAGGGACTGACTTGAATAAGATAAATATTTTAACCATAAAATGCAATCTCCAGACACTTCGGGGCAGGGTGGTGGTGTAGCAGAAAAACAGATGTTGGCTTGAAATAACTGAACTACACATCCCAGCAACTAATCATTCTGGCCACACAGAGAAGTGCCATTAATTCAGATAATGCCAACATGGCAGGGAAATTCTTCCCCATCCAATCAAGCAGTGCCTGAAGTCAGACATCTCTGCAGAACAGCCCAGTTTTCACAGGAATCAAATCCTCTGCCCTGATGGCAGCTCAGTGTGCAGGCCCTGCTCCAGCCACTGGGTGCCTTCAGCAGAACGGTGCTGGAGGGGAGGGGTGAGCACTATCCTGCCCTTCTCCAGCTGCTCTGCCACCCCAGGCAGAAGCCATAGAGCACCCATGAAGGGCCATGGAGAAGGACTGTGGGCTGAGACACCCCCAGCTGCCCCCCTTGTGCCTTACTGTGTGTGACAAGGGAAGGTGCAGCAACACAAAGGGAGCAGAAGGTTGGCAATACGTGGGTTTTACAAAAGGACACTGGCAATGGACTAGCAGTGTTTTGGCTTAGCAAATCTGAGGACAGAATACCAAGGGGTTGTCAGACTATACAGAAAGAAGAACCACCCAGGCAGAAACAAATGAGAACCAATTATAACTAAATAGACCTTGCGCACAAATAGAATTTTGCCATTAAATATCATTTATCCTATTTAATTAGTATTTTCTGGACACAATACTCTGGACCAAAATACCATTCCATCTCCTTGAAACTCGTAATTATTGTTGTGACCTATGCTGTTATGCATCCCCCTGCTTTCTCCACCTTGCGTGCCATTTAAGAGCCAGCAAGATTTTCAATTATCTACACCGAACTGCCAAAGATACCTTTAAAAGAAGAGGAACAATGTGCGACTGAACTCTTCTAAAAAAGGGGAGAAATCACTTTTAGTCAGAATGAACACACTGCATCTTTCATCATTCTATTTTTGCGAGAAAGACTAAAACAGGCTCTTTAAAACACCCATTTAAATGCAAATTCTTATATTCCAGGGAGGTGGCAGTTCATCATTTCCCTCCGACGGGATTCTTTCCCCCCAGCCCTGCTGAGGTTTGGGGTTCACCCCACACAGGTGCTGAGCAAGGGGCTGAGCCCTGGCAGACGCTCGGTGGCACACTTACCCAACATTCCCATCCCCAGCATAAAAGCGTCCATGGTGTACGGCAATCCGCGCGCCCTTCCTCTCGTCCCTGGTGGAAACATCACTTCTTTAGGTTGTGCTTTCTTACATTCTACCTATTGAGCAGAAACACGTACAAATGAGATGCAAATGAATTCCATGTAAATGTCAAATGCAGAACTGATCTACTTAAGGGGGGAGATTTATTTTTAGCGTTTTCCTGCCCCCGCCGCCTCCCCCTCACGATGAACTTTCTGAACAGTATGAATGGATTTAGGAGAGCACACGTGTGCCTCTTTCAGCGCACCCAGCGCCGTAAGGACGACAGAAAAGCTGACTGAAGAAGTTGCTGCGGTCCTGGAAGCAAAACCCGCGCTGCGTTTTCTCTCAGTGACACTTTGCAGGCGTGGAATGGATGGAGGAAAGTCCTCAGCACAGCTCTATTACAATCAATAGCACAGAACGACTCTCGGTGATCATTACAAAAAGCTCCTTTTAAAACAGGAATAAGGAATCAATATTTCTGCCCAGCAGAAAATTTCTGTAAACCCTATTAATAAACGATCTGCATTCTTTCACTTTCAGTTACTTCCGCTGCCTCTGAGTCCCTCCACGCCACAGCAATCACCTCTGCTTGCTCCTCCTGAGCCCCTACAGCAGTCCAAGGGCCAGCCAGCTCCAGGGAATGGTTTGCAGGGTGCTGGACACCTATGAGTGCCACTCCACTGCCCGTGGGATGGGCTGTGACCATCCCGTATCCCCAACCCCTCTGGCAGCGGTGGGTGAGCAGTGACAGCAGCAGACAGGCCTGGGGCTGTTGGATAACGTGGCTGAACATCTCCGTTCCTAATAGCCCTATCAGTGGCTGTGTGTTCATTGTCTTATGAAAACCGACCGCCTGTTTCCAGGCAACCTGATCAGCGAAAATTTCAGGTTTATACAATTTTCATTTAGGTAACATGAAGGTTAACTGACTGTAATGGCAGTGTTTTAAACAAAACCACCTACTCCTCCCCTTTCTGCTGCAAATCTTGTGCAGATCGTATTTACATTGCTTGCCTGCAACACACCTCAGTGTTACAGCACTCAAATCTGCCAACACCGTCAGAACGAGCACTTCTTGCAAGCAAACTGCCCGAACCCAGGGAAGGCTGGAGTGAAATTCCTCTCAAGTTCTCCTTTTCCACCTTTCTCTCAACAAGTACTGAGGTCCTTAAAAGAGCTGTGGGAAGGGCTGTAAGAGATGGGGTAGCGCAGCAAAGCCCCGCAGCGGCACGCCGTGCGACGGAAAGCACCACGGTGCACATTGGGGGCCTTGGTATTAAGAGAGAAGGAAGAGGGAGCGGAAAGCTCTGTCAGGGAATTCAGTGGGCCCTGCAGCAGCGATGTGCCACAACACCGCCTTGAGAGCAACGGGGCCCAAATGCAGCCGAAGCACCGGCACCAGCTGCGCCGACACCTCGGCCACGTCCTGCCGACCGCTCCTCGCGCGCTGCTGAGTCCTTCAACAGCCCTGTGCCAATCTAACCTCTCTAACTGCAACTGGGTGGCCGCCAGAGGTGCTCCATCCCATTTCTCAGCACATCCTTTGGGTTCGCCACTACTCACAGTGTCATGGAGGCATTGGTTACACCTCACAGCTGCTCTCACTGCAATATTCAGAATGATGAAAACAATGTAGCCTGGCTGGACGGACAATTAACAGGAAAATGAAGTTTGGATTAGCACCGTTAGAAACAATAACCCAGTAATTAGCTTTTGCAACCACAAAACAGCCTACTGCTGCTCCCTGAAAGACTGGCTTAATTTATGATTTTCACAGCACATGAGGATATAAAGGGAACGGTACTGAGCTGCAAAGAAGTTTTAACGTGGTTTTAAAGGAGAAGAAAGAGTCACCCGCAGGAAAAAGAAATAATTTCTGAGCCTCGTAAACAAACACATCCCATAGCAAGGGCAGAAACACTTGTTACTGCCCAGCTGAGATGACTCCTGTGTGGGGTGGGTGACAGGATGTGCAGGGCTGGGCTGCTCGGGTTGGGGGTGGCGCAGCCCCAGGGCAGCACAGGAACCCCAGAGCCCAGGCAGGCTGCCCTATGGGCCACGCTCTGCATCCGCTGATGGCACAGCCATTGCCCAGCTCTGTGCTGCCCAGGAGCCGGCCCGATGCGGGCACGCTGCATGCAAACCCGAATCACACACAAGCTTTTAGTTCAGCATTTCTGCACATCTTAATAATTTCCAGATTTTTTCTGCCTCCCCTGAACGAGGGATGTGCTCCAGTTTCAGCAGCCTAACAAAGAATGGTTTAAGGCTGAAAGAAATTTAAAAAAAAAAAAAAAAAAAAAAAAAAGCAGGGAAACTAAAAGTCACTGTTTTTGTTTAGTCTAGTTGGCAGAATTAACGTCGCGCCGGGGTGCTCCTGGGTCAGATGAGCAGTCAGAGCCACCAGAGCCCAGGATGGCTGAGATGGGGAGTGAAAAGCCTCTCACACCCAGCGCAACAAGGCGGGCTGTCAGCTCGCAGCACCACGACAGCTCACAAAAACACGGCCAACAGCTTTCCAGGGAAAGCAGAGCACTCCCAGATTCACAGCGCACAAAAATCTGCTTTACCACCCAAAGACAAGGTGACTTTGTCTAGCTGGCCTCGCGGTTAGCCGGGGTTGGGCCGCCCTGCTGCCCCTCAATGTGAGCACCAGTGAGAGCTGCAGCCACGAGCGGTGCTGCCCCGTGACTGCTGTCAAGCATGTCCTCAGCTGGGCACAGCTCTGGGATGGAAACCCAAAGCATGCACTGTAACTCATGCTGCAACCACAGCTTGAAGGCTGTTGGTCCTGGCAGAGCCCAAGCAGCTCTGGTCCATCCAGAACAACACAACCACCAGTGGGTCCCACCCTGGGGCAAGGGGCAGAGTGTCAGCCCTGCACCATGGAAGCCCACTCTCAACAGCTGCAGAGAGGTCCAGGCCCAGGTACCCACATTACCCTGCAATGTGAACGACTCTGCTACAGTACAGATCTCAAAGCAAACGATCCCATCACATCCCTTTTCCAGCTACTTTTGCACCCCCTACAAAACTGGGCTTCTTTTGGCAATAATGACAATATTCTGGGGACATTTCATTTTGGTTTTATCTATTCCCCTGTCCTCAGAGTTTGGAGAAAACCCATGGTCTCCCCCATCAATTCCAGCCTTCCATTTATTAAATATCTCTCTGGCATTTTCCTTTCACTTGCACACCGCTCGTTTAATATTACACTTGACATTCTAAGCTTTATGGATGGCAACAGAGGCAGAACGGGAGGGATAAAAATAACCTGCATGGGAAGGCAGGCTGCAGCCGGGCCAGGGAGCGGCTGCCGACAAGAGCCGGTGTGGGGCAGCTGCCAAAGCAGTGCTATAGAGCACAGCGGGCCGCCAGCACCCCTACAGCACAACGCCAGGGAGAAACCAAACCAAGGCACAGGGCCAGGGGCACAGGAAGGCTGGCTGCTGTCAGCCCCGACGCAGCACGCTGTCACATACGTGTGCGCAGGCTCTGCTGCTCCTGCATGGGTTTGGTAATTAATCTGCAGGCACATCAGCAGCACGATGAGTCAGTCCCAAGACAGGATCATGTCTCATCTCCTCCCCCGTGGGCTGCTTTTAAAATTAGTGCTGCGGGAGTGACAAGAAGAGCGCGCTCGAGGCGCCCGGATCACGCACCGGCAGGAACGCACCGCAATTATTCACACCAGCTGAACACCCACCTGCTTTCTGCTGCTCCTTGCGATGCGGAACGCTTTCGCCCTGTGCCCCGCTCAGCCCGCCTGCCCACAGCCCTGCGCAGCCCTTCTGCAGGAGGAGCCTTTCCAGAGGGGCAGATCCCGATAGCAGAGCAAAACCCAACCTGATGGTTGGGGCAAAGGAAGGGCAACAACCACAGACCTCCCTGTGCCCCCAGCACACAGCTCTGCTGGAGGCTGCTCCTCCTGCTGGGGGCCGGCACTGTGCCTGCCCTGTGCAACAGTTCTGCCCTATGCTGTGCTGCTGTCAGTGCCCGGCCAGCTCCTGCACCTCCCCACTGTGACTTACACAGAGAGTGAGCTGAGAGCTGAGCTCTGGAGAAAAGTATGTGGTGTGAAGTAAGCAAAGGGAGTGCTTTGTGATGGGCACTCACCTCGCATTAAGGAAATTCCTATTCTTCCTCCCTCACTGACAAACCTTACCCAAATTTAAAGCATTCCTAATTTGTAGCAAGTCTGCTGCTCCTCGAGGCAGGAGTGTTGGGTGTTAACTCTTATTTAGTTTTAAGGCAGACAGATCAGCGTTTAGTGACTACATAGGGAACGGAACCTCACCCACAACCCACATTCATCTCACACGAGGCATCACCAGCAGCAGAAGGAAACTCCAGAAGCAAAGTAGAGAGCAGTGTGGCCAGGCAGGGCAAGCTGCCCCATTCCTGCCCTGTTCCTACTCTGGACCCCAGCGCTGTGCCTGCTGGAGGGACGGCCGCTTTTATTTCAGATGCACATTGCAATCAGGAACAATATGAAGAATATTATTTCAGTGCCCTGGGAAAAATTAGCAAGTCAAATATTGAATCAGGCCTCCAGCATATGCCAAGGAGATTGCTTTGATCTTATCCACACTAAAAGCTCCATTATTGAATTTAAAGTCTGTGAACACATATCAGACCAATATACAATGCATATCTGAATACACATTTGAGAAGCGAAGGATGTTTTGACAAAGGGAAAAAGAGTATTTCAGCTGAAAATATCAAAGTTTTCGCATCGATTGGAAGACAAACACCCTTCTCCCTCTGTCACATCGGCAACCTGGGGCTTGATGTCACCCAGGGAAAACTTCCCCATGGGCCGGGCAGCGCTGGCATGCTGCAGCACAGCCTTGGCTCTGTGGACACAGGGCTGGCAGCAGCCCAGGCCCCACATCCCAGCTCTGGGCAGAACACACACTTACCATTTTATTATTGATTTCGTGGAAGTGGATTTCGCAGACTTTTTCCACCACATCTTCATTTTCAAAAGTAACAAAACCAAATCCTGTTCAACAGAGGAACAAAAAGGGGAGGGGGAAAGGAAAACGTTAGCGAGGTCAAACAGCTTTTCTTCTAACAAGGCATTATTTGCCATTTGGACTTTGGAATGCTTTCCCAGGAATATGCTCATGTAAACACACCTGCCCTGCACAGCACTGCCGCGGAACTCATTACAGCCTAATGGAGGTAGGAAGCATCACCTCGGAGGAAATTAATAGGGTTCTGTTACAGCTCTTCCATAGGATTTAATGGAGAATTAAAACCTCCTTATGGATTTTTTGATCCATCCAAAGAACTTAATGGATAGTTACACCCTGGTTCATGATGGCTCAGAAACTACAATCAGGCTATATTTTCTTTTACACCTTATAGGTTTTTAAGAGCAATCTCTACAAAACCCAATTATATGTCTATGGAAGCGTATTGATTTTATCTCCTGTTTAATTCCAAGGGACTTCTCCATTAGGGCTGACTCATTGCAGGACAAAAAAAACAAAAACCCAACGAACCGAGAACCCAGGCAGACAGCAGCTGGTTGCTGCCCTCCCCTCGCACCAAGCCAGCACTGACAACTTCAGCAAGGCAGCGGGGCCGCCAAGCTCCGGAGGTGCTCGTTTGTCCCCTCTTCCTGAATGACTTCCTCTAATGCCTCATCAGGACATCCTGAGGCCTCTCAGAAGTGTCAGTCAGAGGGCTCTGATCTCATCGCTCCTCTCCTCCACACCGCTGAGTCAGAGCTGTGGGGATGGGGGCTGCGTCAGGGCTGTTGGATGCCTGCTGCCCACCTGCAGCCCAGCACTGTGTGCTCTGCTGGCTGCACAGCCCTGCAGGGACACACGGCACCTCACCCTGAACCCACAGCACCAGGACCAGGCGGTGCCTTTTGGGGAACATACAGCACAGGCTGTGATGGGAACGGACAGCACAGGTAGTGGCCAATGCACCCCTTGCTCTCTGGATCTTCTTGGGTGGATGGAAAAAAACCAACACTAGAAATGGTTCCAGCACTTCTCCGAGGTGCAGCACATCATCCCACAGCACACCGCACCCAAATGCAGCGCTCAGAGCAATGCTTTGCACGTCAGCACCTACAGCTTCAAGCGTGGTGCTTGACCCAGCTCCTCTCTTTGCCTTCCAAACTGTTCCATTTAAATCCACCTCAAACAGATCTGCACTCACAACCAAATGTTTGTGGTTAACTGCCTGGGTGCAGCACCCCAGGGTGCCCTGCACAGTGCTGGGACTGTCACCACCACCACCTCCTCATTAGTAACTCATTAGTGAGTGCTGCAGCTGAGGATTTCTCATTGAGCTCCTGTCAGGTCTTGCTGCCAGGCTGGAGCCAGGAAGAGGAATTTAGAGGAGATTAGCATTAATACGCAGCGCAGCACGACAGCCTGCTGCAGGCAGGACACGTTGTGACCAGGAAACAAGTTTCCCCTTCTCATCGCACTCCATACGGCTTAAACACAGCTCTACCCAGAAATTACTCCTCTGATTAAACCAGAAAAGCAGAAACCTGCCCAGCTTTCTGTGTTTACAGGCTTTATAACAAGAACAAAGTAACAATCCATAGACATTAATGCTCATTCAGGTTTTTAAAAGATCCAGGCCAACCCATGCAGGTAAAAAACCAGACGTGAATGGGTCCATAGGAAAACCCAGCAGCAGCTTTGCCTCATTCCTCCCTGGGGGAGCACAGGAGAAGAGCAGTGCTCAGCGCTGCAGGCTGTGCTGCCTCTGCTCTCACAGCCTGTCCGTCGCATCCTACTGCTCCTTAAGCAACCCTAGGAGATCACTGCCCTGCAGCTAAAAAATTCCTGGAACGAACCCATAATGGGTCCTTCTTTGTTTCACTTATAAAATATTGGATTGCGACTTTCAATAATTGCACGCATAAAAAAACATTACAGTACGCATGCCTTATTAGTTAGCATAATGAATATGAGCTCATTTCTGAATTACCAAAGCTCTCAGAAACCTTCCTGGACGAAACAGACAATTACTTCTTATGAGAGGTACTGAGAGTCAACAAAAAACGCTCCTTGGAAAGTGTATGAAAAAGATTAACACAAAACAAAGGCAGCTGTTTGAAACGGTGACAGAAATAGGATTCCGGTTGTCAAGGAGCACACGTTTTAAAATGAAATTATACGGCATCCTTCTGAATGAAGCTATTATTGGAAGCTAACAAGCTCTATTTAAGAGATAAGCATTTAACAGAGTCAAATGGTTTGCTTTTTTTTTTTTTTAATTCAAATGAATAAAACTGAATATTCATTTGAATAATCTTTTCTGGAGAAGAGAAGACAATGAAGAGGGAGAAAATAAAACAAGAGGCAAACAGAGTCCGAGTGAGCAGCCCTGCAGGAAATGAGACGGCAGCTCAGCCCGCAGGCACCTGTGGGAGTGCAGCCCATGGGCACTGCTGGCACTGGGCATCCTCACGGGGAAACACATCCAAGGGAATGGCCCACAGGGAAGGCAAGCCTGGGGAAATGCATCGCCTCCTCATGCACACGCCAGCCTGAGCTCCCTGGAAGCATCCCTGATATGCCCAAAATCACCGCCCAGGCACTCAGTGCCCAGCACACCATGCCCTCACCACTCAGACCCCCCGGCCCAGGGCACTGCCAGCTCTGCACTCCAGAGATGAGGGGAGCGCTGCTCTGAGAAGCCAAATACAACCATAGAAAGATTAAAACAAATCAGTGGGCGCCATAAATCACATGGAGAAGCCGTGCTGAAGATACCAAATGTCAGCGCTCCTGTGTTCCGCACTTTGTTTTTCTCACACTTGAATCAACTATATTTCACACCTTTGTCGTCACTTGAGAAGTTTTCTGTCAACCTCAGTAAAATATAGCTGAGATGACGACACCGTCGCTATGAAATACATCTGCTTTCCCTTGCAAGTTGGCAGCTGCTTCTCTCAACCAGGGCGCTGAGAGCACAGCAGTGCGTTACAGCTGCATTTAGGTACCCCCAGAACATCACTCAGCAGCAGAGCTACGTGAAGGCAGCTTACACGTGGAAGGCCTCGCTCCCTCAAACCTGCACCAACAGAGCCAGTGTTCGCGTTGGCTGCAGAGACTGTGACTGACACAGGGACACTGCTCACACTGAACACCGCCCTGCCCCGCACTGGGGCACCACCACCTCCCAGCATCTGCACTATCGCCAACTGCTGGCCCAGCAGCTTTCCTAAGGCAAAGGATACCTCTGTTTTCCAGCCACAGAGAGGAGCTCTGGGGGCAGAAGCAGGGCAGTGAGCACCAGAGGAGAGTGGTTTGATCCCTGGCTGTCCCAGGGCCATCCCATGACATGGAGGAGATCATCTCATTTCACCCACATTGGGTCTGCATTGTCTACTTAGACCATATGGTCTCAGTTAGCTGGGACCACCTCCTACAGCGTGCTGAAGTATGAGATAGCTCCTTAGAAGATTCCTGGGAAATAAGATATACACAGCCTGCACCACAACAAGAAGCATTGCTCAACTCTCACTCCTGCTGCCAGGTAAGAACACCTGATGGGCATCCATACAGCACAGCTCCATCCATCACAGCCTGGCAGCACGGGGGCTCACAGTGCTGTGCTGAGGGACACGAACCCACAAAAGCCCCCAACAACCACAGCACCAGAATGAGGGAACATCAGCTCCAGTTGTGTTCCCTCTTTGCATTTCATCTTGGTACCCGATGATCCTGTTTGTATTTGTTTTATGCCTCTTTCTCTCCCCATATTTAAGTTACTTAAGCAGTGAAGCACAGCAATGTCCAGTCCTGCCATGGCATTATTTACGCACCTGCTTTCTTGTTTATACCAACAGTTTTGGCAGCCAGACCTGTAAACCGTAATAAAATGCATTTTGAAAAGCTTAAAAAAACAAAAAAGGAATGTGACCAGACAAGCCAGGCATAATAATATTAAGGCCCGTGTCAATTAATTTTCCCCTCCTCTTGATAAACGAGCCCCATTCCATCCATTAATAATGAGGGAAGAAACAAGAAAAGTTGACACTGGTTTAATTTATTTGCTCAACTTGCCTGGTCATATTTCTCCCTGTTGTAAAGCTTTCTGGTGCTGCTGGGAATTGCAAGTGGCTCCCACACAGTCGATGCACAGATTGGTGTGAATCAATACAGTTCTGCTTTATTCACACATCCCTTGTAATCAGAAGGGAAGAAGTTCCTTAGTAAGCGATCTCACAGCCGCCAGCCCACCTGCAGCAGTAACAGGGCTGGGGGGGAAGGAGGGGCCAACACAGCAGGGTCTGCTGCCTCCTCTCAGAGCAGAGGTCAGGGCACCTCCGCTGCCCAGATGCAGAACCAGGACAGAATGGGTCTAACCCAGTGCTGTGCGAGGTCCCCGGGATCTGGGAACCAACGGGACAGCCGCTGCTGTGCTCAAGGCGGAGCCCCGCAGGACCTGCACAGCTCAGCCCTGCGCCTCTCCCTGCACAGCCTGCACAAAGCACGGAGCTCCCCCAGCACTTCAGGTCCCACACTGCTTCTCCCCCGCTTCCCAGATCCTTCTGTGACGTCTCCATCTGACAACCACAACTTGGCTCATTACAGCTCAGAGTTGTTTGAGACAAAAGCTGTCAATTCTCATTTGTTATTCCTTGTTATTCCCGTTTCCTGAGCGGCACGCACAGAAAGGAGATGTTTCTGTCTGCTGGGAAAGTAACTCCCAGGCCTGCAGGCTATGCCCTTTGGATGGCACACACCTCACCTCCACAATGGGGTTCAGAGCAGCGATGAGAAACTGCTTCACAGCACTGCCTGCACACTGGGGCAGCACAAGGTGCTGCTGTGTCAGTGCCGGCACAGCAGGGCAGCAGGATAACGGGCACCAGAGCCACTCGGCCTTTGCTGCAGGCAGCTGCGGTACTCAGGTCCCTCACCGTCCTCCCACGGCTGCATCCCAAGGGAGCATCATTCAAAAACAATCCAGAGCCAAAGGAAAAAGACGTGGGCATGGAGAATGAGAAGGCAGAGC